CCTTTTCGTTCCATCGCCCCCCTGAAAAATGAAATCGCCCCCTGGGGGGCAATATCACCCAGGTTAAGGACCACTGTTCTAAAACACTGGTTTTCAACCTTTTTTGTCTCATGGAGCAGCAATGTGATAGTAACTTGTATGGTCTTATAGACAGGACCTCTGGATCATGAAAGCAGAAGCCCCATGAGGTTACAGGTTATAAAAAAATAGAGGCTGTCTGCCCCTGGTGATGTCACAGGTGATGCCTGTGGAGCTATGCAGCACTTGTGGCTCTCTGTTGTGGACTTTTCATGACATACAAATATACCACAGCACAGTGCTTAAAAAACATGGCTCTAAAAGATAGTGTAAGTTGATAAAGCAGTATACATCTATGGGGGTCATTAGATGTAAGGTCAAGCGTGAACTTAGCTCACAGGTTTTAAAGAAGGAGTGGACGTAATCAGCTAGTGCAGGGGTAGGCAACCTTGGCTCTTTTATGACTCGCGGACTTCAACTCCCAGAATTCCTGAGCCAGCCATGAAGTCCGGGAGTCATAAAAGAGCCGAGGTTGCCTACCCCTGAGCTAGTAGTGTCAAGCGCCAGGGAAATCAGGAGATTCGGGAAGTTCAAACAAGTATAAAGATCTATTGCAAGCTTAAGCTCTCTACAAAAATCTGAGCTACTAACAATCAAGGCAAATGAGCGGGCATTAAGAAGGCATTCAAGGTGGGCTGGACTTAGCTCTCTTGCAGGTCCACAGGGACTCGTGACATATGACCTGTTTGACCCCACCCTTGGACTCAGCCTGGTCATCTCCTACATTAGGGAAGAACTCTGAAGATATGATAGCATCACCCTCTTATGGGTATGTTAACTTAGAATGGGATTGGGGTTAAAAACAATGCTGGAATCTGTGTTACCCTTTTGCTACTCTATATATAAAGATCTGGTTGTTCTCCCAAAGCCTTGGGTTGAAATGGACAGTCTCCTTCTTGGGTGTCTCTTTGTCTTTTTTCTTTATGCCTCTATATAGTGACCAGATCCCATCTTGTTTTGGCTTGTTTTTGGATTTTTTATGGAAATACATTCTGAGCTGCCTAGAGTCAATTGGACTCAGGCAGCACATGAATGAATGAATGAATGAATGAGTGAGTGAGTGAATGGTTTGAATGTTGTGGAAATGTCGAACAATAGTAAGGCTGCAGGTGTAGATGGTGTAACTCAGTGGTTCTCAACCTGTGGGTCGGGACCCCATTTGGGGTCGAACAACCATTTCACGGGGGTCGCCAACAACGCAGTCCGCCATTTTTTCCCCTTTTCCTTAGCTGTGCTACTCCCTTTTATTCTATTGGCTTTTGAAAGCCAATAGAATAGACTCTCTTGAATAGAGTCTAATTCTATTGGCTTTCAAAGCCAATAGGAATTGTCCAGGCTGTCTCTGCCCTGCTGAGCCCGCCAAAAGTCCCATTCTGCAAACGGTGCTGCACCAGTTGAGTAATCCTCGACTTACGACTGGTTCAGTAGTCCTCGACTTACGACCGGTTGGGGGGGTCGCGGCATTAAAAAGGTTGAGAACCACTGGTGTAACTGGAGAAGCTGGATGGAGAAATGTTAAAGCTCACAAACATTGGTAGAAAAGTGCTGGTGATAAGATAAGATAAAATAAGATAAGATAAGATAAGATAAGATAAGATAAGATAAGATAAGATAAGATAACCTTTATTGTCATTTTTATACTGTGGGCACAATGGCACACATCATGTTGAAAGAAGTGAGATGGCTTGTATCTAAGAGCATGCTTCTGCCAACCTTATTATAGGAAGGACAGACTTAGGAAAATCAGCAGAAATATAAAAGTTAAATGCAGTAGGAATCAGTTATTTAAGAAATACATTTAGTAAAGGAAGAAGAATAAGAGTAAGGTCAAAAAAAAAATGTTATTCGTTAGTTTCACTTGTTCAGGGTGCAGATCTTGTCATTATATAGCCAATTTGTCCTGGAGATCATTTCTGAATATCCACAAAGGTTCCCATGTATGAGGTATTTGAGAGTTGAACCAGATTTTTAAACTGAGATTTAAAAGATCTCAATAGTATAAAGTGACAAGAACTCAGTATGCTCATAACTTGAATCTGACTCTTAACTGTCAATTGATGTTGGTTTTTTTTCCTTCCATAAAAGTAAGGCAGAAAGACATGATGGTGGATCTTAAATTAAGTGCTAGATTTCCATTTTCAAAGCTTTAGGACAGATGCTTTTTTTTTTTAATTAGCTTTGTTTATCAAACTGACCTTTTTGATTTTTTTTATTTCTACAACAACAATTTGAAAGAATTTGTATCCCCCCCATTATATCTTTCCGTTTATTTTTTCTAACTAGAGATTTTTAAGAAGAGATAGTCTGCAAAGGTATACGGTCTCCTGCTTAAGCAGGGGGTTGGACTAGAAGACCTCCAAGGTCCCTTTCAACTCTGTTATTTATTCTGAATAAGGAGAGGAATAACAAATGGACACCGAGGCTATGTTTTTATTAGGTGTTCTTTTTCTTCTCTCATTCCATTAATTTCACTGGCTTGTGCCTCCTTATTCCTCTTCTGTACTCTTCACAATGTAGCTTATGCCAAAAGGGAAAAGTATACTTATGAACATTAGAAAGGAATTAAAGTTTACTGAAGTGCTAATACTGGATTATTTGCCACTACTCCTCAGTAAATGCTAGTGCGGTCTTAGATATTTATAAAGCCCTCTACAGACTTTGTGAGAAATCTATAGAAAAAAACACTGAATACCACATAAGTAATTTAATTCTTCCATGCATTGTATTTTAATGTGTTTTTCCTCCATATCTCTGCCAAGATTCTGCTTAATTATATAATGTTAGTGACACAGAGTAGCTTGGCTTATAGGGCAGAATAAAGCTCTAGAGATGGGGTACTGGGCTCCAAGTTGGACAGACGTTTTAAGGTTCAGCTCTTCGCAGAAATGAGGCAGAACTTAATGGGATTAGTCTGAATCTTAAAAAACGCTTGAGGGCTTTCTAATGAAGAGGATTGTTTTATAACCAACCATTTGCTCTGCCTTATTTCTGATTTACCTTCCTACCTTTTCATTTGTTGTAAAGAACCTGGGATGGCTTTGTGTGTGTAAACTACTACAAGTAGCATTCTGTTCAGATAGTGCTGGCAAAAGGTGGGTGGTACTACGGCAGATGTCCTGGCTTTATCTTGTCCTGTCTTCAGTGCCTGCTGTTGTTGGAGAATATCTGACATGGAGACCTCCTCTGCATGCGCTGGATCCCTTCCTGCTTTAAGAGCGTGCTTTCACAAACTTCTCAACCTCCAAAAATGAATGGAAACAAAAAGCAAAGAATCAACATTATGGGAGAACCTGGAGGTGGAGTCAAGAGAGGAATCAGCCTAGAGTCATTACGTTCCCACAAGCGGTCCAAGTCCAGCCCCTCTTGAGTTCTGTTGATTCTTATTGAGCACCAATTTAGTGCTGACCACTAGTTGACTCAGTTGTTGTGTATAGGCATGAAGAATAAATCAGCTTAACTCAGTGGTGGGATTCAAATACCTGAACAACTGGTTCTCTTATTTGATGCAGGCCTGGGCCTCCGATGGCTAGAACGGACTTCCAGAAGTGGCATCACGCACTTCCAGTGGGCCGTTCTAGGCCTGGGAGGCCTCCTCCAGGCCTCTGATGCCTGGAACGGACTTCCGGAAGTGGCATCCACCTACTTCCGGTGGGCCGTTCTAGGCCTGGGAGGCCTCCTCTAGACCTCCGATGCCTCCCAGGCCTCCAAGGTCTAGAATGGACTTCCGGAAGTGGTATCCATGCACTTCCAGTGGGCTGTTCTAGGCCTGGGAGGCCTCCTCCAGGCCTCCGAGGCCTAGACTGGATTTCCGGAAGCCAGACGGTTCTCCGAATTCAAGTAAATTTAGCTACCGGTTCTCCCGAACCAGTGCAAACTGGCTGAATCCCACCACTGGGATTCCCACACTAAAGTTGATCATCCTTCAAAATGTCCCAGAATCATTTCATACCTGAAATTTTGATTGGGTTGATTGTTGATTCTTAGTGACCACTGAGATACGAGTTTATTTTGGAAGATCTGTCCTTGGTCTGATCCTTCAGCATTTCCAAGGCTCCATATGTCCCCACTCTAATTAAGTCCACCTACTTTGCTACTAGTCTTTCTCTTCTCTTCCTTTCCACAATTTAGCCTAATACGGTTTATATTGACAAGAGTAGTGAATATGTTTCAAAATATTTTATCTATCTAGGAAAAAAACTTGTGTCTCCCACAGGATGTCAATACAAGCACAAATAATCTCTTGCTTAGCATTGTAATCTTAACTGATAAAATTCAACCATTGGAGAATGTTCTTGCAGGTTACACGTTATATTAACACACTGCTAAACCTTGTAATTTTTTTTACATTTCATAATTAAATGAGATTGGATTTTATTACAGCTTTATTTTGGACGTGGGGGCAGGTTTTCAAATTTATCACCTACGCAGTGTAAAACAATTATTTGGTTCCTCATATTTCCTCCGTATTTTTGATATGTGTCTTGAATTGATAAAAGCACTTTTTTTAAGTGAATATTTTATTTCTTTTATTTATAGAGTTTAATGCATTAGCACGAGCTGAAAATACATTCCGAGAACTCATAGTTATTCATTTTATGTGGAGGATGGGAATTAATAATAGAAAGCAGCTCATTAATTTGTTAGTGCTCTTTTAGGGATATATTTTTAAGAAAGCAATATTCTGCACCTTGCAATTTCTTTTAATCTCTAGCCAGCTCCTGCACTGTTTTGAATTATTTTCTGTGTGCTAAGAATGCTTAAGTGAAAGAAAATAACCTGAATAAAATTGAGTGTTGTAAAAATTACTGTGTTGCCAGTTGGAAAAAAAAAATGACAATTCCAGTAATTGACAGTATCTGGATAAATGCTATAAGGATCGTCAATCCATAGACCTGAATGGTCAATTTCCTCTCCCCATACAGATCTTAATCTAATGGGTTGGATCCAAAGATTCCCTTCTTCCAATGGAGGAAGGTTTCCTCTGACAAAGGAAGAGAATGAAGGTAATAACGCTAAATTAATATAATAAAGGTAACTGTCATGGCTCCAGGTATACAGATAGTCCTTGACTTAACAGCAGTTCATTTAGTGACCATTCAGAGTTACAACGGCACTGGAAAAAAAAGTGACGTATGACCATCTTTCAGACTTAAAACCATCACACACTTACCAACCAGCATCCCCCCATCATCACACGATCAAAATCTGGATGCTAGGCAACTGACTTGTATTTATGACAGTTGCAATGTCCCCAGGTCACGAAATCCCCTTTCACGACTTTCCAATAAGCAAAGTCAGAGGGGAAGCCAAATTCATTTAACAACCGTGTGGCTAACTTAACAAGTGTAGTGGTTCACTTAACAACTGTGGCTAGAAAGGTCCTAAAGCGGGGCAAAACTCACTTAACAACCGTTTCACTTAGCAACAAAAAAATTGGTCATAAGTTGAGGACTACCTGTATTCTTTTTTTTTTTTAGCTGAGTTAGTGCCTGCTTAGAAGACTGTTTTGATTCTGCTGCTTTCAGTCTATTTTGCTGAAGTTCTAAAATTCAGCAAAGGAAAACGAACAGGTCCTTCCTGCCCCCTTTATGTTATTGGGAATGCAAGCCAAGTTTTAATTTGTCCCTTTATTTCGTTCAAGGCCTTTTCTAAGCTTAGCTTTTTATCCAGTGAGCTTTGCTTCCACGACCCTCTTAAAATTGTTTTGCTAAGGGATGTACGTTTCCAAAGAAAATATGCTGCTTTTTTTTTTGCCACTGCCGCTGCTGAGCCTATCAAAAGCTGAAGGCATCGTCCCCCAATTTATCTGCCAATGACGGCATCTTCTCCATTATACTGTCGCATTTAATTGGTGTCCTCTAGCGTTAAAATAAATGTCTTGTCACAATTCATAGAGCTGCAGCCTCTGCTTGTGTGGAATTTTTGTTTAAACGTGATCTAGACATTTTTAATTTCCGATTTTGGGGGGGAAACGAGAAAAACCTGAAAAAACAAGAAATCGACTGTTTGGAACATAGCCTTCAATTTTCAATCCCTGCCTAAATGAGTCCTTGCTTTGCACGAAACCCCTTTTGCTTGGAAAACATCTGGAAGCTTCAGCTGGTGCAGAATGCAACTACACGAACAATGGTGTATGTCCCTAGGAAAATATCCGTTACACCTGTAAGGGAGCTGCATGGTTGGCCAGTTTCCTTCCAGATGCAATTCAAGACGCTGCTTTTGATCTTGAAAGCCCTACATGGCGTAGAACCAGATTATCTGAAGGATGTCCATGGAGATTCCAAGTCATCCAGGTCAGGGTTGTCCCAAAGATGCTTCTTCACGAGGCAACTGGACTTCCTTGTTTTTCCTTTGAAGGTGTTTCGCTTCTCATCCAAGGAGCTTCTTCAGCTCTGACTGGGTGGTGGGGAGTGGAAAGATTTATACTCCTTGCAGACAGCTGGTCATTTGCCTTCTTTTAGAGCAGAGGTCTTCAAACTTGGCCCTTTTATGACTTGTGGACTTCAACTCCCAGAATTCCTCAGCCAGGCCCTTTTCTTTAAAACCATACCTTATAGAAGCTGTGTTTCGTTAGAGGTGTGGTTCAGAAATAATTTATATGTGAAATTGATCAAATTCAACAGGTTGGACGTCTCTGTTACAGAGAAATAAGAAAAGCTTCAAGATGGACTAGATGATCTCCAAGGTCCCTTCCAACTTTACTATTATTATTATTATCTTGGCCTAAATGTAATCCAGGAAAGCATCACTCTCTCCTTTGAGATAGCTTTTTGAAGTCCCATGACTTCTCTGAGGCAGAATAGTAATAGTAGTAAAGTTGGAAGGGATCTTGGAGGTCATCTAGTCCAACCCCCTGCTCAGGCAGGAAACCCTACACCATTTCAGACAAATGTCTGTCCAGTCTCTTCTTAAAAACTTCCAGTGTTGGAGCATTTACTGCTTCTGGAGGCAGGCTGTTCCACTGATTAATTGTTCTCACTGTCAGGAAGTTTCTCCTTAGTTCTAGGTTGCTTCTCTCCTTGATTAGTTTCCATCGGTTGCTTCTTATCCTGCCTTCAGGCGCTTTGGAGAATAGCTTAATTCCCTCTTCTTTATGGCATCAGTGCTAGCTAAGACATGATCTGGTATTAATTTGATGATGTATTTTCCCCAGAAATTAGGACCAGAAATAACAAGTATATTCAGCAGCTGTCTAAATTTCATTTAAATGTACGGGGGGGATTCTAGAAGTGAGGGGGTCTTTGCTGCTTTCTAAGTTTTTTTGTTTTCTTCCAGACTTTTCATTACCCAAACTAGGTAACATCATCAGTGCTCCTGATGTGTATAACATGTACAACGGTGAAAGAATCTGCCTATGGAAGTTGCAGACTTCCTACGTCTGACGTTTTTTAGGGTGACGCTGGATAGTTGTCTCTCAGATTGTTTTAATTTTATAAACACCCTATGGAATCAGCTGAGAGAAATCTGCAAAAGAGATGGTATAATTGTTAGCTCTGATTTAAAAAAAGAGAGAGAAGCTAATTGCCTTTGTACCAGCATCTGATTTCATCACTTAAAAGCTTCTTCTTACTCAGAGTGATTTAATAATAATAATAATAAAGTTGGAAGGGACCTTGGAGGTCATCTAGTCCAACCCCCTGCTCAGGCAGGAAACCCTATACCATTTCGGACAAATGGCTGTCCAGTCTCTTCTTAAAAACTTCCAGTGTTGGAGCATTCACCGCTTCTGGAGGCAGGTTGTTCCACTGGTTAATTGTTCTCCTTAGTTCCAGGTTGCTTCTCTCCTTGATTAGTTTCCATCCATTGCTGGATTTGTACTTGGTACTTTAAAAAAAAAAATCTTAACAGACGACAGGCATGGTTGCTAAAGACAGCCAGGAAAAAAATAAAAGAGAGAGAGAGATTTCCAGTTGAATGATAAGCAGGAGACTATTTATTAACTCCAGTTCCTTCATTGCAGAGATTTACACAGAGGAAGATTCAGGATATTTTTTTGGTGCACCTCTATGTCTGAATGCATAGACCATTTCGGAGGCCCAAAAGTGCCAGCTGAACGTTAAGAATTCTGTTTTTCCTTAGCAGTACTGAATATCTGAAGCAGTTACAGCTTGTTGACTTCACCCTATATGATTTTCGCTTTCTGCAAGCAGAGATTAGCGGCACGTAAAGCCCATCAACGAAGAAACGGTCCCCGTTTTGATGGCATGCAGCTCAATTTTCTTGCTATAAAGATTTCCTGGAACGAGAGGCCAGTTCTCTCATTTCCATCCAGATGAAAATATTGATGGTCTGATTTGAGGGGCTAGAACGCTTCCAGGCCTTCTGAACTTTGTGCGTGTGGATAGAATGTTTGGGACCAGCGAACACATTTAGAATTGTGAGAAGTGCTGTGCCAATTTACTAATGATGATGATGTTGCCCCATTCAGTCATTTCCGATTCTTGGTGATTCTATGAGCCAGGTTTATCTGTGACCTCAAGGTCACCTGAGTGGTGCAAATGGGGGTCGAGCCTTCTTGGCTGCAGGCCACTCTTTTGAAGACAGAAAAGTCCACATTTTGAGACAGAGAGGACCACTGAGTGATGGGACTTCCTTACTGGAAGCTTTAAACACAATATCAGTTGACATCCATGGAGGAGGTGGAAGAAATGGATTCCTCCAGGGGAACAGGGCAGGAGTAGAAGATCTAATGCAGTGGTAGTGAACTGGCCCCGCCCCTGCCCCACCCCTACCCCACCCCCTGCCCCGTCCCCGCTCCGCCCCACCCTGCCTACCCACAGGGCCACTCACCGCCTCCAGGGCCCGCCACACATCGCCCAGGCAGCCCAGCAGCGCCATGGCGGCCACGCCCTCTGCCTGCGCCCCACAGCATCAACTGTGCCTGTTGGGGCATGAGGGCAGAGTCTTGTCTATGCTGTCTGGCTGCCATGTCCTTGGCTCCGCTGCTCCGCGTGGGCCACACTCGGGGGCAACTGTCCTCCAGGGGGGCTGCTGTTGAGGCGGGGGTTGCGGGGGGAGGCAAGGCTGGGGCAACGGCACGTGTGCCCACAGAGAGGGCTCCGAGTGCCGCCTCTGGCACCCGTGCCATAGGTTTGCCACCACTGATCTAACATATCTCTTCCAACTCTTACAATAGATAAATCTACAATAGTCTACCTTCCCTTTTATCTCTCCTCCTCCTCCATTGTTCCAACGAAGCCACGAGTTGGAATGAGAGTCCTCCTGAGCGAGTCGGTGGCTCTATAGGTTTTCTAAATAAATAAATAAAGCTACCATTTTAATTAATTCGGAATGGCCATTAGTACCCATTTCTGTCCCAAAAGAATTTGTTTGCCAAGAAGGGTGACGTTCAAATGTTTGCTTTAGTTCTTTGTTTCCCAATTACTAGTGGAATGTTATTTGAAGTATAATGGCAGGCGTAGCATTTTAAAGGTTTAGGAGCTGTGAGAAGTAATACCTTTGAGGGTTTTCTGTTTTCTTTTTTAATTATTCTAAGGCATCTCTAAAAACATAGGCAAATTGAAGAAATGGCTAGTTTCTTTTCTCTTTTGTCAATTGCGATATAATTGACTAGGTCTAGGGTGATAACTAATCCCCAAAAGAGAGACTAAGTTTAAATATAACCTAGTCTTCAACTCTACCTCACAGCTGCTATGTAGACGCAGGTTTGCCGGGAATATCATTCTATTGTTTACGGAGTCCTCCATGTTCTTCACCATCTCCAAGAAAACTAAAATAATAACAATTTTCAAATGTAATGATTTGTTTGATCCCAGGAGGGTTAGCCTCTAATTCACAGGAAGCGGCAAATCACGGCAGAGTACCGAGATTCTTCCTGGGAAATTTATATATAATAAATCAGGAAAGCCAATTTTCAAAAATGACATGTCCATATAGTATTTACATAAGGACAGAGTTGGAAGGGACCTTGGAGGTCTTCTAGTCCAACCCCTGGCTCAAGCAGGAAACCCTATACCAGGGGTAGGCAACCTTGGCTCTTTTA